CCATGGCACAACAAACATGTTTTTTTAATGAAACACCCTATATTTGGAAAGACTTTTCCAAAACAAGAATACTGATGTAATACACATATATAGTTTATATATGTATATTACATCAGTATATATAGTGTTTTAGTTGTCACTTGTTATTTTATCATTATTCTGAAAAAATGCTTATTTTTTAAGACTTTGAATTCCCCCATTTTGCTCAGATTTCCAATGAATTTTGAAGAGAAGTTGAAACAGTACGTACACTACTTCAAGCTTAACCGCAGTTACCAATAATGATATCTATATACAAGGTGTTGCAAAGCGCAAAATGTTTTTTGACTCAGAAATTTTAAATGAAACGCCCTGTATATTTTCCGTCATCAGATACGCTTTCAAAAGCTTTTTTTTGTCTAAGGTTTATACAAGATTATTTAACGGTTATTTCTAAAAATTCTAGAAAATCGTATAATAGGGAATATGCACATTTCTCTATTTCCTATCCATTATTCACGTTAATTTAAACCGTTAACACATTTCATTCATGCAAATGTCTTTATTTTTGCAATTAAATATTTCAAACTGCAATGCCAAAGACTTTGATTTAAACGCGCTTTGCAGTGTCGTCACAACACATGGTTCGTCATTTTATGCTATATTTAGGCCCGTATCGTCAGTCGTTCCTACAATTGTAGGACGCCTTTATGGCCTCCTTGATAGTCATACTCCTTTCTCTCCCTCAAAAATTTCTAGATTGCACCTGTTCTGTGTCAGCGTCAGCGCTCTCCTATTGTAAAGATATGTTTTCTTTTAAATTGTAGGAAATTTCAGGCTGATAAAACATGATATAACTCAAAAGCATGCACAATTTGATGCAAATAGATATTTGTGACATAACCTCAAAATATAGCACTGACACGGAAAAGTAGAAAACTATGACAATCAAGGAGGCCATAAAGGCGTCCTACAATTGTAGGAACGACTGACAATACGGGCCTTAGTTAATTTGTTCTCAAGTTTTGAAAGTAAACAAGTAAACGTTGTCTGGGGGCAAAATCTTCGTGGTTGGTATATGCACGTCCACTGTCAAACGTTAAAACATCTTTATTCAAAAGGGGCGTAACCCATTGTACGTATACTAGAGAGCCCAGTGGCAAGTTTCGCGTTTTCTTTGGAACTGATCAAAGTACTTGTTTGACAGTCAATGACAGTTACAAATGTTTGGCTGCTCACTTGCCGGTATCGTGACGTCATGCCAATGGTGTTGCGATTCGATATTTTAAGTTTCCCCAGTATTTTTTCCATTTCTTATTTACCCTGCGTAGTATCGTTAGTCGTTCCTACAACTGTAGGACGCCCTTATGCTTATGGCCTCCTTGATTTTCATAGTTACCTACTGTCCGTGTCAGCGCTCTAGGCCGAGGTTATGTTACAAATATCTATTTGCATCAAATAGTTCGTACTTTTGATTTATATCATCTGTTATATCAGCCTGATTTTTACTAGAATTCAAAAAGAAATTGGAGAGCTTTGATGCTGACACGGAACAGTAGAAATGAATAAATACCCCAGACTTTCTAAAGGAGAGAAAAGTCTATGAAAATCAAGGTCATAGGAGGCCCTCCCTTATTGTAGGAAGGACTGACGATACGGCCCTAATACTCGTAATTTTATAGTGCATAAGTAAAAAATAATGTTGAAGGTGGCTTTCACTAGCAATATAAACTGTAAATAAAAAAAAAATAACCGATAGGTGAACCACATGCATATTCCCCTATTATCTATTTAGACACCACTTCGTATCTCCTGTGGAAACAATAACTTCTCATAATTCATGAAAAGAGGACTAGCACATTCCCTAAATGTCTTTTTTGTTTATGAAAAACCCCTTTAAAAACCATTATTTAGTTGTTATTTGTTTATCTACGAACGCATCAACTCAGAAAACGATGTCACATATTAATTAATCCTAATATTGTATAGAAATAGATTATAAATAATACTTGGATACTTCTTACCATTTTGAAAATTTGACTAGGCGTCACAAGTTGAGGGCACACTCGAATAAATTATTCTAGTGATTACGTCAGAAATGCACACCTATAAGATATCAATCTTGCTGCGAAGACCGTTTTCAAATATCTTTTACAATTTTCGTATTAAACCATTTTCCATTATCGTTGGGACACCCTATATAAAATGTGATTACCATGGGCGCCAGCAAACATTTTTTTCAGGAGGCGCGATTATCGACAAGAGCTATTTTTTGTGGAAGTGTATCTGCAAATTTTCTCCGAGGGTCCTAAAATCTCCAAAATCATGCTAAATATGCAAATCGGGTCTAGCCACATTCTCAGGAGGGACGTGCCCTCTCCTGCCTCCACCCTGCGGGCGCCCATGGCGATTACCAGAATTGTCTGGCGGTGCTCGCCCATTACACCTTACTATTTCATATTAAAATCGTACCAAGTGTGGCATCTAGCAGTGCGAGTATGCCCCGCATGTGATTCCTTTTGGTATATCGTCATCAAAAAGAACCTTATTTTCACTCTATTCCCTCCAAAAACCCGTAAAGTGTGTTGTCACATATTTTTCATTTCACCAGATAGTAAATCATCAAAAGCGATATTTTAGGTTGCTCTTCAGTCTGCTTTGTTTTTATCTATCTAAATAAAAAATCATCACTTCAATGAATCTCGTGCACGTGATGTCAGAAGTTGCAGGTAAGGGTACGTTCAGATCACTCACATGTCCATGGGCGCCCGCAGGGAAAATTTGCAACTCCCCGCTCTTCAAAAAGTTTTAGAGGCATGTATATTTTAGCAAAAACTCTCTTCCGATAATCGCCCTCCCCCTCTCCCTCTGAGAAAAAATCCTGCGGGTGCTCATGCAGCTCGCTCAATATTTTTTCGCGAGATCCCGTAGTGAATGGATCAGGAACAGTGGGAATTTCCCCCTCCTCCCGAAGATTTGACAGTTTCAAGTTACACCGGGAGTGGTTAGGTGGCGCATGTTGCGCAAAATGTTTGCTTTGAGCTCCTTAATAAACTTAGTTGCCTTCTTTGAAGCTGAAATAAAAAGACCGATCATTTTTGTGCAATGTACATATATGTCAATGAAATCAACCGTTTGATATGACAAGTGCGGTTCCTATAAGGATTTTACTCAGATTTTCGCGAAGAAGGAGAATAGGGGAAGGCGGATGTGGCGTCATCCAAATGGCAAAAAATCACGTGGTTCTGGCATCCGCCTAACGTCGGTCAAGTACTAGCGAGTGACAGATCTTACGTCAAAGTCATTTAGAAAACAGACATCTCAATTGAAAATTTGACTTCCCAGTGCCGAAAATTGAATGAAATTATTAAATCATAAATGGAGGAACACGTCCACCTGATTTTAAGTGCCGAGGGAGAAGGTCATCGAATATACAGGAACCACACATATGCAACATATATATATATATATATATATATATATGTTGCACAAATAACGATCGGTCTTTTTATTTCAGATTCAAAGTAGGCAGCTAAGTTTATCAAGGAGCTTAAAGCAAACATTTTGCGTAACATGCGGTATCTAACCACTCCCGGTGTAACTTGAAACTGTCAAAACTTCGAGAGGAAGGGGAAATTCCGTTCCCGCCCCATTCACTACAAGAACTCGCGAAAAAATCTCTAATATCTACGATGACCTTCTCCCTCGTCACTTAAAATCGGGTGGACTTGTTCCTTCATTTATGATTCAATAATTTAACTCGATATTCGGCACTGCGAAGACAAGTTTATGTTGAGATGTCCGTTTTTTAAATGACATTGACATAAGACCTGTCACCCGCTAGTACCTCACCGCCGTTAGGCGGTTAACCATACCTTTGTGATTTTTTGACATTTGGATGACGTCACCCCGTTCTTCGATAGAAAAATTTTAGTATCAGTTCCCCCGTACTGCACTAGCGCACTGTGCTACACCATCGACTCGTGAAAAAATCTTTAATGTTTGCCTATCGTATATAAACGTGCGTCAGAAAATGGACGCTCGTACAACGCCACTAAAAGCCGAGTATCTCAATACACGCGTTTTTCCTACTGTGTATTTTGAAGTTTGACGTCACGTGCATTCAATTCCTAGATGTATGTTGTAAATGATCTAGTGTCTGAATTACAATATACTGGTCACTGATGTTTCTTAAGCATTGACTCATTATTCACGTGCAATCAATGATATACCTATTTAGTTGCTGACCCTCGTCATTTCAATTAGAACTTTACCACTATACGCGGACTTTATTATTATGAAAACTACTGGAAGTGTTTTATACTTCAGAAATTGATGAAAAATGTAACTAACCAAATAATGTACATACATTATAACTGTAAAATAAATGTAATATGTCCACTTTCTTTGTAAATTTTGTTGAAAGTTTTACATATTTGTCCTGATATGTAGATGTTATTTCATTTTAGGTAATAAATTGACAAAAAATGTATGATAATTTTGAAAATATCCGTAATCATAATTTATTACAGTGATTTGATGAAATTAATTCATGAATGATCTGAGATAATTGTAAATAATATTGTGTAAAATAATTTGTAAATAAATATTGTGAAACTTCAGTTATATTATAATTCTTTTCGCACACCCTGGAACTTTTTCCTCAAAAGTAAAGTGTCTACATTGTATACCGTTGACCACTTTGTAACAACCCTTCGTCACAAGTTTTCTATATTACTACATGAGGTTGTCATATATACGTTTTATGTAAAACCTAGAAAATGGTGAAACTCGGAAATAAGGCACGGCCATCAGTCCTCGTGATCAAGATCAACAAGTCACATGACCAATGTTAATAGGTCACGTGACTAAGGTTAGTGTACCATGTGACCATCAAAAATGTTATTCATTTGCTATCTGTCAACTGTCACATATCCAATATGGCCGTCCTAACCACGCCCCTTATCCAAGTTGAGCATTGATAGAAATGACAATATTATGTCAAGTGCTACATGTTCTGTGTTTGACAGTTGACATATTTCATAACCTATGTTATCAATATCTTCAACGTAATCAACAATTCTAAGATCAGATATAAAAGGGGGCTCATAAGATAATAACAACGTTTTTTATCCAAACACCACCCTATAACTCCCTACAAAGTGCAGAGTGTCCTTTTTGAAAGTATTTAAACCATCCAAATAGAATGGCTTCAGACGGCGAAGATATGATCACTGATCAAGAGAAGGTCCGTATAGTATCAGATTTCATCTTGCATTCGCCTCCAGGAGAGTTCAACGAGGTCTTCAATGACGTGCGGAAGCTATTGAACAATGATGACCTGCTGAAGGAAGGGGCCAGCGGAGCTTTCGCCCAGTATAACAAGGACCAGTTGACGCCTGTTCGAATTGAAGGGGCAGACAGTCCAGTGCTCATCACCGAGTACAACGATTTGGGGAATAGCAGGTTCTATGATCCCAGGAGTAGACAGAGCTTCAGGTAAGATACTGTTACCTTTGTAACATATAACCTAGGTCCATTGAGCTAAGCCAAAGAAAGACATTTTAGGCAAATGTCACACAATTGGTATGTACTGTGATCTGTCAGTATTTATCTTGAAATGTGATATTGACCATACAGCCTGGATATCCATAATCATTGTGTATGAGGTTACATAGAAATCCACTTATAGACAAAATCATCAGTAAGTGTCAGTGTCACATTTGTCATCAAGAAGCATCTGATAAAGAAAAACTGTCAGCTTTTTTTACAAATTATATAGCCTATAGCATAATGAATAGATGACTTCTTGCCTGTAATGTCATAAAACTGTCCATAAATGTGAAAATTAGTTATTGGGTTTTGAACATCTTAAAAAATTACCTAAAACCTCTTGTCTCATTTTAACTGTGTTTTCAAATCCTCAGTGTGGAACTATATTATCCTTTAAAAATCACAGGATTGTTCAAAAACAATGAAAATATTTTTCTTTTTGAATTGCCCGGAATTTCTTTTTTGCATAAAAGTTTCTATTTTCCTTAAATCTTAAAATTCATTTTCATAGAATAATATGATACTTCTATCTTATGAATATAGTTGTTGAGTTCATTATAAGGAATTATTATGTTAATTATGACAAATTCCAATTTTTCTGCTTGTTTTAAAATATATTAATGCTGCATATATACAGTATTCCTTAATGATATGCGAATATTTAAGGGTGTGAATCTACATGAAAAATTAATTTTAGTTTGCTTTATAAACTATGGTCCAAAATGTTTCCTTACAAAAACCCGGGGTTTGAAGTTTTAGGGAAAAAATAGAAATTAATTAATATTTTCAGGACCGTTTCAAATATTTCACTGATACTAAGTATGTAGTGAAAATTAATAAAGCTGCATATTTGTCAATGCAAAAAATAATTTTTAGTTTTAACAGTGTCGTGCGTACGGGTATTGACTTCAATATTTTTTAAGAAAAAAATAGTACGCCAATGTTTTTTTTGCCATATAAAAATTTTTGAATTGCCCGTTCAATTTAAAACAATGATCTCTCTTGAGTTGCTTTCCTTCGACGCACCATTTCTAATTAAAAAAATAAAAACTGTTCTATTGTCTAACTTGCAAAATTATTATTAATTTAATTGGAAAAATTAGACACATCAGGGGTAATGAACAACAACAACTGACAACATAAACATAACATTAAAACCAATGATGTGATTACAAAAATTGTTGAAAATGGCCCCCTTCACTTAGTATGCATGCTTCCGCCCTCCTTCTCATGGAATTCCGCACTCGTTGAAATATCACTGGTGTGTTTTTATTCTATCACAAGCTTCAACTATTCTTTCTCTTAATTCCTCTACAGTGTTAATCGGACTTATGTACACTAGTGTCTTAAGATAGGCTCACAAAAAGAAATCTAAACTGTTGAGGTCTGGGGACCTTGATGTCCATTCTTGGGGCCCACCGCGGCCAATCCTACGATTTGGATAAACAGTTTGTAAATAATTACGAACCACTCTGAAATGCCCTGGTACACCATCATGCTTGTACCACACATTGTTTCTTATTACTAATGGAACTGTTGTTGAAGAAAATTGAGGTAAGTCTGTCCGCCAAGTCGTCCCGGGAAGAAGAATGGGCCAATAAAGTGGTTGCCAATAATTCCTGCTCATATGTTAATCGAAAATTGGTGTTGGAAATGGGTTTCGGTTACGGCATAGATATTTTCTTCTGCCCACAAATGATTATTGTGGAAATTAGCTTCGTCCGTGAACAGAATCATTGATTCAAATTTCGGATTTTAGGTCACACGCCTTGGAAAATCAATGAGAAGTAATGCCTATACGCTTAAAATATGGTGAGGATATAACAAAAAATCCACAAAAATTCTCCAAACAATTTGATGGCAAATATTTAAGTGTCTAGCGATCTTCCTCGTACTCGTTTCAGGATGTTCTTCGACTTCGTGCACTTAGAGGTCTACCTTCAGATGTTCCTTTTCGGACAGAACCAGTTTCAACAAGATGACAATGAATATTAGAAAAGGTTCGACTATCTGGCAAAGCACGATCGGATATCTCTGGTGATAAATCCGTCTAGCTTGCTCACCATTACCGTCAGCAAAGCCATATACGAAATGCATTTCCGCCATTTCTGCATTTGAATAATTCACCATTATTAACAAGATTGTAAAAACTAAATAATGAAAAAGATGTCACAGCGAACAGATTTGAATAACAGAGACTTGTTAGATGTCAAAAGCCAGTGACATATTCCAGAGCAACTAGATATTTATCGCTAAATTGCATTCTTCAATTATTACATTGATTTTCTCGGACAATAGAATGGTTTTTATTTTTTTACTCGAAAATGCCGCATCGAAAGAAAGATCATTTGTTTTAAAAAACCATTTGCGTACCATTTTTTTCTTAAAAAATATCAAAGTCAATACCCGCTCGCACGCCACTGTTAAAGCTAAATATTATTTTTGCATTGAAAAATATGCAACTTTATTAACTTTTACTATGTACTAAATATCAGTGAAATATCTGAAGCGATTCTGAAAATATTAATTAATTTCCATTTTTTTCCTAAAACTTCAACACCCCGAGTTTTTGTAAGGAAACATTTCTGAACCATAGTTTATAAAGCAAACTAAAATTAATTTTTCATGTAGATTCACACCCTTAAATATTCGCATATCATTAAGGAACACGCTGTATAACTACATTGTAAGGATAAAAATGGTTTTTGATATATTTGAAGATTTCCATAAGATTTTAGAAAATTCTGAAGTTGGAAAGTATTCTGTAAAATATTCATGGTCTTCCAGATTTTGTCTGATGATAAAATGCCATCAGTTTTGAAACCCATTTTATTATATAAATAATTATATTAATGTTCAACGATTGGACAGTGTTTTTTTGGGATCCGTATAGCATCCGCGATGCTCTGGCGTTTAGGCATCTGCCTGTGCGGCTGTTGTGGTGTAAAATAACCGTTAAAAGGACTATACTAATTTAGCTTCCATTAGTAATACTGTAAACCCAAGGTCTCAGGGTTATCTTATGTCAACTTGATAAGTAATTGATTGCTGCATTTATATGTAGGAAACCCTATATACGTATAATATGTGTATTCATATTAGTACATAGGTACTTTTTTTTGTAATTTTTTTTCCAGATACGATCACCTGCGCAAAGAGGCCTCCGACTACCAACCTTATACACCTGATGCAACAGCTGAACCTTGGCGAGCGGCCCTCGACGCCGAATTCATCCAGTACACCCGCAACCACTACAGAGACGGCGTGTGCTGCGTGTTCGGCCGCACCCAAAACGGCGTGACAACGGTGACGGCGTGCATTGAGGATCACCAGTTCCAGCCGAAGAACTACTGGAACGGCCGTTGGCGGTCAGTGTGGCAGGTTACGTTGGAAGGTGGTAGCACGGCACAACTGCGCGGGATACTGAAGGTCCAGGTGCATTATTATGAAGAGGGGAATGTTCAGGTAAGAATTAATATTCTAGTATGTTTAGGTATAATAGAGGGTTGGTGGAGCATTGCTCCTAGACGAAAACATTTTTCAAAAACTCTTTATGGAATAATGGATGTCATATCTCAAGCCACATTTTAAAAATACCCAGCATTTCTGACAGACTGCCAATTCGCCATTTTAGGAGATATTAAAACACGTTCTGCGTCAAAACTTTTCCCACTAATTATCTACAAACGAAATTTGCCAATTTATGGAAATCTATACATCAAAAATGTTAATTTTAAATATTGTTATTGACACTTTGTAAATAGCATCTACGTTAAGTTCTGGCAGTTTCCGCTCCCAGGCTTGACATACTTATTAGTTCTATTCACTGTAAATGTATTGTTAAGTGAAAATAACAATTTAAAATAGTTTTGACAACATATTCTAACAAACCTATCAGGTGCAGGTATTTCACTTTGTGGTAAAATTATCACCTTATTCAATTATGTTGCATAAGTATGATTATAATTGGCTTCTGTGAAAAATAAGTGCTATTATGTGAAGTTGAGTAATACAACTTATTAACTACATTTTGAATACGTTTTGATATCTATTAAGCAATATCTTAGAAGCTATATATCTAAAATCCTTTGTTCTTTATATCATATAATATGTTCTAAGAGTCGAAACCAGAGATGCAAAAATATACAGGACAGTCTTTTTCAATTTTTTCTTCCTGACCACCTTGTATAAGCTAATGAATTTTTTTTTAAAAATACTATGAGTAAGATATTTTGACACAAAACACTTTTCAATATCCCTCAAAATGGTGCACGGGCCAGTTGAGTTTTCTTCTACTCCAGCAACTGATAATCAAAAGCCTACAACTTGTTATAATTGTTTTTTTGTTTTGACAAGGCATGGTCATATGCAATAAAATATCTGTGTCACTGAAAAATACATTTTCAATAGCACAATAAAACCCTACTGGAACTTAACAGGTTTTCCACTAATGAACTGACATGTCTATGTTGAAAAGGAATAAAACAAGCTACGTGTGAGGCAATAACAAAATTCTTTTTTCGAATCTATTTTTCTTACCGGTACTCTCGCTTTCAGAATTGCCCCCTCCCCGCTTGTCGATTTTCAATTGCCAATAACATAGGGATGGAGCATTTTCATTCATATCAATGATATGATCTGATAAAATCTTCTAAACTACTAATGTTTCCTTCCGAAATACTCGTGTTTTTTTTTTCGAGGGATCGGCACTGTGGACACCTCGTCGAACTTTCGCACAGCTGTAGAAGTAGATTTTGAAAATTCTACTATTCAAATTGACTGCGAGTTGCTAAAATAGTATAGATTTGAAGATATAAACATTTGTTTGGCGATGTTTGTTTTTTCGCCAGATGTTTTAATATTGATAGATACATTTTACTTCCCACGCCTCGTGTCAAGGCAGTATTGTAATCGAGAATATATTTTTTTAATGTCATATGACATGGCATCACAAAATCCATCTCACTCATTTCCGTCGGTCTTTCTGCAAAGGACAAAAAAGCTTTGTAGTTTTTGAAAATCGGACCAACACCGGCAAATAAAAAAAATCTAATTGCTGAAACTTCGTTTTTTGACATTACAGAGTCTCTTGATTAGTTTTGGAAAAAAATTTGAAGGGTAAAAATTGAGGATAGGAATTGCACGTGGGGAGGTAAACATCAGTTTTTTGATGTTGATATATTTATAAACCTCCAACCCCAGTAATTCATGTTGTCCCCGTACATTTACTCCTAAAACTTGGAAATATCTCCAACAGTCGTATCGATACGTGTGACGTAGTTAATGGTCGTGCGTCGCAGTCTGCAGTCGCTTCTGTACTGCTTTGGTTTGTCTGTTGTAAAAGTCAATAAGGTCATCCACACAGAATAGTTATACCGAATATGTGTGCCTGTAGGAATTTCTCTCTGGGGGAGGTAGAGTGTTATTTAATTTTATGTTTACATGCTCATAGCTAACTTGTTTCTCAGAAAGGCTATCTAGTGCCGAACGTAATCCTTTACGAACGTTGCTTGGGAAGTACACGGTCAACTTGACGCCATTTTTGTTCTTCCAGTTGGTGAGCACAAAAGAGATAAAAGAATCGGTCCCTATCCGAAACCACAGTCAAACGGCCAAAGACGTTGTCGCGGCGATTGAGACAGCGGAAAACCAATACCAAACGGCGATCAGCGACAACTACCAGACGATGTCTGACACGACATTCAAAGCGCTGCGACGATTACTGCCCGTCATCCGCACCAAGATGGACTGGAACTCGCTTGTATCCTACAGCATCGGCAAGGAGTTGAAGACGCAATGATCCGAGGGCGAATGCTAAGCTGGCAACGGCGGAGGATACCTGCGGATGGGATGAGAATTTTGATACTGGGGTGCGTCTATCTTTGCTGAATATGGCAGTTGTCGAGTGAACAAACAATATCACTTTCTAGATCTACACTATCTACCCTCAATAAACATAAACAAGGAAAGACGTTAAACTATGATTACTTATACTGGCACCACGCTAAGAAAATATTTAATTTCTGTCTGAAGATAGGCGAATGCTACGCGTTCGATATTGTGATATTTGTTGAGTATATTCCATATGTATTTATTGGTGTATAAGGCTATGTAGAACCACTGATACTGACGGATCCATCAATACATTTTGATGATATAGATCACAATAAATACTGAATGTTTGACACAGCTTTAATGGATATTTCAACCAATAGATACCTGCTGACAATACTAATGTGTATTGTTGCCAGTTGCCTCACATCGCCAACTTAACGGTCAAGTGTACTTTGAGGCTATAGCTACAGGTACTTTAAGGAAAAATCTTTTTACAACCGATTTATTCGTAGTACCAGGAAGGAGAACATCAAATAGACTATGCGGATACTCATCCAGCGTTTTGGCATCAGCCAGTGCCGATAAAGAATGGCTGAATGCGCTGAAGAGCATCGTCAATTCCGTACATTTAGCGTCCGTAAGATACCATTGAAACGTTATAATCTTGATCATAATGTTAACATTCATAGGTCAGAACTGGCCATCTAAAAAGATGTCCAACGCCATACATCAGATAAATTTTACCTTGACTTTGCAATGGCGACAGCACGCGATCAAATTGAAGCAAAATGAAGTTTTGAGGTGGATTGAAGTCTCACATCTTACATACTGTCTGGAATAACTTGGAAAGCTTTCTGTTCCATAGTTACATTGATTCATCCCAGTTCACAGTGTAGCCTCCACCAAACGCCACCATGCACTAGATTGTTGGTTAGAACTTTTTATGTAAATAAAAGTTATCTTTGTATATGAATATAAGGTTTAGACATTCAAACACGTATCTATAATGCAAAATGATTTTTTATGCAAACTTTATCAATTTAAATAATACATGATTATAAAATTACGCTTGACGCTCATAAAAATAGCATACGCATATAATTAGGTAGTACATAAGTATACAATATTTATTGAAAAGTGTAAATATATGTGTGCACTAATAAAAGAAAAAATATTTCGTCATATTTTTGTTGATTGAGGCTCAACATTAATTGAATTCAGCAATCATTAACTGAATCTGCAGTTGTTCTTTTTTACATTTGTACCAAATTGGTAAACATTTGGCAGTATTATCGCATGAGCGTTTTGATTGTAATTCATAATAATATTGATTGCATTTAACCAGCGTGTTACTTTATGTTTTTGAATTGATTTACCTATATATTATTTTTATACTATATGTATGCCTTGATAATGTATTAGTATTATTTTTATATATTCCCATAAAATATAACCTAAACTGTGCAATATTTTGCACTGTTATACTGATGTATGTTATATTTTACTGACCCTGAAGAGTTTTTATACATGTAGCTATTTTTGTTATAATTCAACTGTTTCAGTTTTGCAAGTAGGCCATACTGTTACAACGAACGCATTCAGAGAATTACAGAACTTTAATGCCAGTGACCATTAGATGCAAATAGCTGCTTTCATGAATTGCTGTCGTTTTCTGCATGCGCCCATTGTCTTTAGTAACACTGTTATGAAAAAATACTGAAATATCTCAAATTTCACAATGTCATAAATTTGAATTGCGTCCAAACTTCAAACATTTTTTATTGGAAATAATCCCGTTTAATTGTGATATAACAATGACGCTAGGTTGATAATGTCAAGATTTCCTCAGACGTCAGTTATTGCCACTTATCGATATCTTTTTAAAATTAATAATTTATGTCTTGTTAAAGCCAACTATTGTACGAGTTATTTTTCAATGAAGATTTATTTATAATAGTGTACATTTTTTTAATAAGTTCTTGTATAATATTGGGTCACATGTCATTCGAAGTGATTTCTCAAAGAAAATGTTACTACATGGAAGACATTCATTTTTGACCTCTGAGCAAATCACCTTATGTGGTATGAGACCTGCCGGACAACTAGTGCTTGTTAAATCCCTTCTTTCAGTATCACATAGTGTCAGTTATGATATGGCATGAGGATTGGGAACACTGATCGTTGTTAAGGACCATTGATGTTTGCTCGCCTGGGACCATTCATGTATTATATAAGCTGCTTATTTTTGATGACATGGGGGATGGGGGTCGTTTTCGTATTTTCTACAAGGTTTGGTTGATTTTTTTTGCCTGCTTGTCTATTCTCGAAACCGAAACACATCTTCAAGAATTCCCCAAATATGGATATGCTTACTCACTTTTAGAACCTTAGCTACAAATGCTTCTAGTAGATACCTTTTGTTATGAACTTGTAGAAATATATTAGCAAAGGTACTGAGTTAGATGTCGGGCGAGCCAGAAATATTTGCTTCAAATCGTAAAATGCAAGCATGGAAGGCGAGAGGTAAAAGATTGGCTTACTTTGCTAACAAGGGGGCGGACGGAGGGTAGGGTTTATAATTGCAAATATCTGCTTACGTGATGCTTGAACGGCCCCCTAACCAAAATTGTAAGCTTCGGACACCAATTTGCGTGGCGAACACTTGTTCTAATTCTCTCTAACATGAACGTCGCACAACACTTCCGTTTTCGACTGCACATAAAAAAAGTTGATCAGATATGGATCGGCAGACTAACTATAGTTGGCGGCTTGGAGTAGCACAATAAATGCTCACATATTCCCGGCCAGTTTCAAAATCTCTGTCAAGTCATAACCTTGTCTAACAGAGAGGGCCATAGGAAATTTGCTGGAACAAATGTCAATGATATGCATCTCACCTATGCGACAGACCATCGCAGTAACACAAGTTCAGGCCTAATTAAAGGTCACGTGGACAACTCTGACAAGCTTCTCTAATATTTATAATCTGTGAAAACCAAAAGTTCGTCAGATTTGGCCCCACAGACAAGGTTAAAAATTCGCTTTAAATGGAGTAATCTCAAAATACTTTTCAGGGTCTTGTAAAACAAGGTTTAAACTTCAATTTAGATACTTGGCGACCTCAAAAATTATAATTTTTAAGAGTTTTTACGCGTTGAATATACCAACCTTTACGGCTTTGAAACATTCGGTCGCTTATAACTCGAAAATGGTCAGCTCTAGAGAAAAGTTAATGGACGTCTTTTTTGTTCAGGATGATCCAAAAAACCTGAACAAATTTTATTAAAAAAAAAAATATGTAAGCTAAAACTTTTCTTTAAAAGACTTTGAAGAGTATTTAGAGAATCGTATATTTTGAATCGAGTTTTTCAGGCCAAAATTAGCGAACTTTTTTTCTCAGACTATACACTAATCAATGTAGTACATAATTTACGTATTCTAGGAATTCGTGATTTTTTAACATTGCTTTGGATAGAAACTAAATCTCTGAATAAATAAGACACATCCTATTGTAACATATATATTTCTTATACATAAATTATATATAAAAACCACAATTTCATTATTGTATAAATGTACATTATTCAACTTGAGGATCAAATAAAAAAGCAATTACAAATAAACGTGCTGCCAAAAAGCTGATTCCGTATGGAATGTCAAAATGCAGAGAAACGTGTGAACATGTTACATATCAAACTTGAGCTGTTAATGCTGATCAATTTCACACCATCTTTGGGCTTATTTGTTTTTATGTTTCTCTGGCTTCTGAAGATGTATAAATATGGCTCCGGTGACCGCAACCGTTCGGAATAGTCCAGCTATAGTAGACATTTTAGGAAAAAATCGCATCAAACACCTCGAACGAATTAATGCAAATAAATTAACTTCCAAAGTTTATTCAACAAAAACCTCAAACGATGGATTCTCTGCTCTGTTAGCCTCTGAAAGGTTTGGTGCCAACCATTCAAAGATACTGTATATGGATGCAACAGAAACTGAACGTGTTATTACATTTATAATTCCAAGAATTGAAGAATTTTTGTGTTTGAATAATCATATTACAAAACATCCTGATACAACTTTTTTGGTTAACTGATCAGCATCACAAAATGTGAGGAGGTATGTGAAACGGACATTCAAAGATAATGTTTGCGGCTGTTGCTGTGATTCTGTTTCAGACGCAACCCACCTTCAAAGATCGAGAAACTTAAATTTCCTCGAAGGGGGTTAAAAATCCCCCATTTTTTATGAAAAGATTACGTATTGATTTGGCTTTGTTGAGAAACAAAACATCCTCCTCCTCGCATGCATTGGGGCTTACTGAACGGATTTGAGATTTGAGCAGCCCAAGGTAGTCATTCAAACGGTGGACTTTGTGGTGGCTACCGATATGTAGCGCCATCTATTGGAGAGTAGCCGAATGAAAAAAATATTTATCGGTATACCATTCTTAAATGATTTGAAGCTAATTCTATGCATTTTCAACTACACAAAAAATGGATCAGTTGAGCTACCTTCCCATAGATGGAGGTTCTTTGTAAAGTGTTATCATAGGTCACACAAAATTTAACTAGTCTAAAAAATTATTTAGGGGTGGGTAGGCGAGGTTCGAATGGGTGTGTGGTCAACGCACCTTCAAATATTAAGAAACTTAAATTTTCGCTGCTCACATATAAAACGTGACATTAAAAAGATTTAGTTGAGCTACCGTCATCTAGATGGTACTCCGAAATTATGTTATCACAAGGCTCACAAAATTTAACTAGGCTAAAAGAACCTTGGAGGGGCGGTCGGTCGGGGTTTGGGTGGCACAATCTTACAAATCAATAATGAATTCTACCAAGATCAAGAATCTAAATGGTGGTGAGGGGGGCTAAAATACTCCCGTTTGTAACAGAATCTTTTTGGTTGGACTAGTTTATTAAATGATATTACGTATTATTTTCTCTTTGTTAAAAAATCGACACCCCCCCCCTTAACAAATCGAGATTTACTGAGCTTCCGCAGGAAGACCCACGGTAGTCTATGAAATCCATGGAGCGTTTGATCGCAGCATGCAAGTGGCGCCCTCTATTGGGCGAAGGTCAGACTCATTGTACTAGGTTAGCAGTAGCTACGAAAGCAGGTTTCTGTAATTGATGATGTATCAGGACAGTTAAGCTACCGTCATCTAGATGGTGCTCCGAAATTATGTTATCACAAGGCTCACAAAATTTAACTAGGCTAAAAGAACCTTGGAGGGGCGGTCGGTCGGGGTTTGGGTGGCACAATCTTGCAAATCAATAATGAATTCTACCAAGATCAAGAATCTTAAATGGTGAGTGAGGGGGGCTAAAATACTCCCGTTTGTAACAGAATCTTTGTGGTTGGACTAGTTTATTAAATAATATTACGTATTATTTTCTCTTTGTTCGACGACCCCCCCCCCCCCCTTAACAAATACGAGATTTACTGAGCTTCCGCAGAAAGACCCACGGTAGTCTATGAAATCCATGGAGCGTTTGATCGCAGCATGCAAGTGGCGCCCTCTATTGGGTGAAGGTCAGACTCATTGTACTAGGTTAGCAGTAGCTACGAAAGCAGGTTTCTGTAATCGATGATGTATCAGGACAGTTTATCTAGTAGGTAAACGCTATTAAATTTATAAATTAAACAAAGAATTTTGGAAAGATACTTTTATTAGATGTATAAAAATAATAATATACTCAGTAATATGCATCCAAATGCAGTAGTACTGTTAGGTACAGTCCTTCCAATGACTGGCGAAAGCGACATTTGGAAGGTCTTGAGCCATGCTTACATTGTACAAATAAGGGAGGGCGATAGCGAGGAGATTCGAGGATTTCCCTCCCAGCAACGCGAATTCATCAGAAAAACGGAATTTGACATTCACAAATACCGCATACGTTAAACTTGACATCTGTATCGACCGATACCAATACGTAAATCGGCAGTATCGGCTAATTTTCTGACATATTAGTCGGTCGATAAAATCGCCGAAATTGCTCGCGCGACGCAAATCATGAGTTTAATAAAAGTACAAAATTATTGAATTGAGATGAAACAATATCTAAATATATTTTCCTTTTCTTTCTGCATATGTTACAAATTGTATTAACAACTTTGTCAGTTTTTGATTGGAAATATCACACGGCACTACTTTTTGGAATTTTCATACAGTAAAACAAATCAAGATGCGAGTCACATCGTCGAATCCAGTGTCATGAAACTAAAGCTGCAACAGATAGGAAATATGCTTTCCTGTAACTCTAGTTCCAAGTGAAAGGGAGGATTTTCTTTTAGGTTTGAAGGCAAAGGGAAATTCAGTAGATATTCTTAAACGATGTTGAACGGATGGACGCAAACTTTTGTTTCTCTTTTTCTCTTATTTCGCAGATACCTCCACACACAAACGCATCACAATATTATGGACAGAGAAAAATATCATACATAATATCCTGTTGATCTCTAATTCCGGATACTATGAGATTGCCATCTGATCAGCTTACAACAATATCTATAGACTCAGAGCCACAGCATGGCAACGACTCCCGCGGCAGCTACTCGGCTACAGGTACTGACGTAAGTTGGTGGCATTACAAACGAAATCATTCTCGATGTTCTTCCCTACAATCTCCTGACGTGCGCTTACCCCAAGTCATCAGAAGGAATACACAATAACAAGTAGTGGCTAACGCATGCCGTAGTATTACTGCGAGTAGTATTATGATGTCAGTAAATAAGCTCATAAGCATATAAATATGTATGTGTTCTAAACAAATTGCTAACCTCTGAGATCAATAAAAATGGTGTTGAAATTTTCATCAGCGAAGAGACATTTAGATACAAAACTGCCAGCATTGAAAAATTATTCATAACCAATATAAAACTTATTTGCTATACAAGATATGTTTACTGTACTTTTCCTCAATTATAAAATGAATATGCACGATGCATAGGAATTTGCCAAAGCAGAGCAGCAAGGCTAATAAAATCAATGTTCACATAAAAAGTCAAATACAATGCCTATATAAAAATTAAAACTCCAGTAATTATAGCCTTATAGACTAAACACACAACAATCTCTTACAGACAGATGATGCTTGCATTCAGGACTCGAACCTGACTAACTGATGATGAATAATGGATTAACGTTATGTGTGTCAGGTTCTACGCTGGCATCAAAATTTTACAACCTCTTCCCAATGTTTCAGTCAGAAGTCCCGAGTATTTTATAGCTGCCAGTCTGTCACTGGAGTATGAGGTAAAAACATTGAGCACATGATATGAACCTCTTCTGCAATAACTGCATGAAACAGCTGCCTTACATTAAAATACATGCACAACCATAAGAATACATGTACAATAAATTTAAGAAGCGCCAAAAGTTGCGTATTAGTAAAAATATATGACTCGTAGATCAATATCAGTCGTTCACTTAAAAGTATAATATAATCTATGTACAAGGACGTTTTCATGTCATGGACTTAAATTGACGATTCCGAATATCTCAAAAATCTACTACTAGCGGCTAGGGTACAAACAATCGAGCAGCTAAGAATAACTAATTTTTTCCCAGGCTTGACAAGATGAACAAAACTGCTGGACTGCTGCTCCCATTGAAGGTGAAGCAACGACTCCGCGTAGTTTCTTTTACAATGGAATCGAAGGCCATTGCTCCTCAGAACGGATTTTCGGATTGATAAGACAGCAAAGCAATCACAAGATAAGTACTTAACTGTCTTGTCTTCATGGATATGTCACTTTGTCTCACTATAATGATCATTCCAAGATGTAGAATGAAGATTTACTTACGTTTGAGGGCATTTTTCGAAATCCACCAATCATCATTAACATGGTGAAACATGGAGATTTGGCCAGTCTCAGTACCATTAGTAAACTGAATCTGTTGTCTGAACACGTAGTATTTCGCTACTATTTCTTTCTAGGGTGAGAGGACTGAGGAATTGTATAGTGAATAGGCAGCCAGACGATGCAACCAACATGTTTTTTTTTAAGATTTTGTAGATGTGCACTTTTAGTATAGTCATGGCTCCAATGGTCAGATGCACAGAGACTCTGAGCACAAGATTTCTAGTTTTAACAACCGTTTTCTGATAGCCAATAAGATGATTTAACAATGAAGATTCTAATATTTGCAAGAGTGGATGTTGTTTATGCTAGATCGTCAAATCCATGCTTTTTTGTCAGTCAAGAGAAAAAAGACGCCATAGAGTTACTCTAACTAAAATCAACAATTTGTACTCCTAAACACAAATAGTAAATATACACTTATCCAATATGGCAACATTCAGAATTCAAAAGAAATCGACGGGCAAAACTCGTATACCCTAAAGATAATGGCACAATTCACAGCTATAATCTAAAAATTAGAGTTTCGAAGAACGTATAGCGCGTTTTAGGTATGATACCATTTGTCCTACAGTGTGGAGAAAATGCATAGCTAAAATACGCTACACTAAATATGTATAGGGTTTCCCAACATGGATGATATCGAAATGTTATGCCAGTCATTTTATAAAGAACTTCTGCCGTTATTTGTCAGTATCTGACAATTTATCATGTCGCAAATTAACGAACTTTGGCCAACCCCGTCACTCGATGCATGAGA